TATATATATATAAAAAATTTGATACAGTAGAAGTATACTAAACAAAGAAAAAATAGAGTAGTAAGAAAAAGAAAATAGAAAAGGAATGAAGAGAGAAGAAAACATATAGTTATGCCTTCTCTCCTTCTTTCTATCAAGTAATTACTATCTTATTCTTTTCCCCATCCTCTTTGGCCCTTTTTAATCCCCAAAGCCAGAAATCATCAATACAGTCTTTTCTTCTTTCCACAAGTAGTCCATATAAGGTTCCTAGTCTTTCAAAAAAGTCTGTTTTTTCCCTGATCAGACTGGTCAGCTTCGCCATTTCTGCAAGTTGAGTTAATTTTATAATTCAGTCTTCCACTCTAGGTATCGCATTACTTTTCCATCTTTTCATATACAATAATCTTGTTGCATGGACAGGAGGCGTCCTCAATAGCAGCTCCCTTGCTCTGGAATAACTTGCTACCTGAAGCATGTATGGCCCCATCCTCATGTTCTTTGGAAGTAGATGAAACACGATTGTTCCAGAAGGCCTTTGGAGATTATCTGTATATAACAATGCCATTTTACTTTCTTATTCTTAGTTACTGTTTGAATTCTTATATTCTGACTTTGTAGTCTGCTTTTAGTACATACATTCTGGAAGCTGCCTAGAATCCAGTTGGTTTCAGGCAGTCAGGTAAATTTCATAGATAAATAATACACAGATCGCTCTCATACACTTAAACAAACACATACACAGAAACGTGATCAAAATGAGAGGAAGAAATTGAAGAAAGGATAATTGTACCAGGAAAGAAAAGAACAAACCTGGAGGATAATGAGAGGATAGCAGAATAGGCAAGAGAAGAGAGGGAGAGGCCTTGTTTAGGCATTATTAAATAGCATTCAAATCCCCCAGGTGAACAGCCCCTCCTGGGAGCAGTTAATCTTCAAGCTAATTTTTAAAGACAACTTTGCAGCAGTAGCACCATCTCCATCCATTTGCACTTCATGTTTATTCCTTTGGTTTCAACAACAGCTTCTATTTTTATCAGCAAGTGTAAGACAGATACGCTTACCGGTTCACAGTAATTACTTGGTGAGGAAAACCTTTGCTTTCTTATATTCCAGGTAAATTCAATAACATTCCTTCCCTCAATTTTATCACCACTATAATAAACCTGTGAGATGTGTTGGGATGAGAGATAATGAATGACCCCCATATCATTCAATGAGCTTCTGTGGTTGGGTGTGTAAAGGGAATTCACTATCAAATAGAAGTTACTATATTTTGAACATAGTGTTTCCCAATGAGTCTTGCTACTTGAGGGATACTTTCCTAGATATTCTAATTGCTTGCTCAGGGGTAGATGGTCTGTAGAACTCCAGATGTTTTACAGCAGTTCTTGCTAGTATGGTTAATGGTGATAGATGCTGGGAATTGTAGTTCAGCAATATTTGCAGTGCCTCAGGTTATTAACTCCTGTGCTAGCTCATTCTCCAAATGTAGGTGCATTTGTAGCCAAATAGTATTGCCCGTGTCACATACAAGAGGGAGATATCAGCAGGCTTAGAATCCTTCTGTTCACAAAAGTCCAAAAAGTCCAGAAAGAAAAATACCTGTAGGTGGGAGGAGGAATTTTAAAAAAAAAAGCAGTCAAGACATCCAAAGGAAAATTGGCGTAATGGCTGAAGAACACATGCCTACTGTTAGGGGCACAGAAATGGAAAATATGGAAATGGAATGACCAGGCTGGCTAGAACAGGAGTATTCTACGCACTAAAACTCTAGTGTAGCTCCCAGCTCTCTCAAACAGCTGTGGATAATTTTAGGAGATCAGTCTTTTTCATAGCTGGAATTAAATTTGAAGGGAAATATAAAACTGGTGAATTGCAACTCATAAAGCAGTTCAGTTATTTCTCCTAGGTATGTATTACTCAGCATAGGAAATTTGAGTTATCTAACTTTTTGTCCATATCCACAGTTAATAATATGATGATCACTACCCATATTTTCTACATTTTGTTTTCCTACGAACCTTTCGTGGGTATATGCATCTGCAGTTCACTGATGAAGTAGATTCTATTCTATAAAGTCTTGTCATAATAAATCTCTTAGTCTTTAAAGTTTCACATGTGTAAGGGGTGGCGTCTTTAACATGCTATCATTTGCTGCAAAAAGTTAACCCAGCTATTTATTTTGAAATAGTTTCACTGGTATAGTGACAGGGACAAGTTATTGTCAATCTCATACTTGTAGTATACTTGTAGTATAGTGATAATATTGACCTATTTTGTAGGATTGTTAAACGAAATATAGTAAAGACCTTAAACATACTAAAACTGTAAGTGGACATCTAATCAGTTCCACCCGAGACATCTATAATTGAAAAATCGTAAGGGTGATTATGCTTACTGACCCCATTCAATTAATTTATATGAGTCAGATGTGAGTCCAGAATCTAAATACAGCATATGTCCATGGGATTTATTTGTGCAAAAAACTTAGGGATAAAACTTTAAAATTCAACTATGGTAAATCATGTTACAGATAAAATCTTCATTATATTGTATGTGAAGCTTTGAAAAAAAGGAAGCAGAAGTCCTTCATTAACAATTGGGCTAAAAGAAAGGATCCCTTCCTATCTTTCAGTGTATTTTGCCAGGGAGATCACAGCTAAGTCTAATGTCTGAAAATTATGTTAATCAGAAAATGGTGTTAATCATATAGATAAGGACAATGTGACCACTTGCCTATGGAAGGACTTTGTGTTTCATTTTAAATAGTGATTATTGCTTTCAGGAAGCAATATTCTATCTGAGCATAGAGGAGAAATAGAAAAGTCAGTCAGGTTTAATTTTGCTCTACTATTCATTTTTTAAATCTTCTTTTTCTAATCCCAGGGCTTTTTGAGCCTTTACGTACAAAAAACATTCACATTTTTCCTGTGTATTTCTCTTACTGTATTAAACTTCATATTGTGTTTGTTTTGAACTTAATCAGTGTCTTTCCTCTGATCAAAGCTGTCAATTTAGCCATCAGCAAGCTCCATCATCTTCACGATCCACTCTTCAATTGTGTGTAATGTCAGATCCTTCCACTGTTGTGCATATAAAAGTCTCGCTGCTGTTATGTATAAAAACAAAGTTCCATGAGTTTTCTCCAACTCTTTGTCAATCAGTCCCAAAAATCTCTGGCTTCAATTTTATATTAATCTTTAAATTCTTCTGAATTAATGTATGTATTTGGATCCAAATTTTTTTAGCTTTTTTACATGTCTACCAAGCATGATAAAAAGTCCCCTCTTGTTGTTCACATTTCCAACATACATTCGAAGTACCTTTATAGATTTTAGAAAATTTTTCTGGTGACAAATACCAATGATACATAAAAATTCTCCTTAGGATTATAACATAATATAAATTTCAGTCCTTTCATCCACATATTCTCCCATTGTTCCATTTGTATGTCATAACCAAAATTTTTGGCCCATTTTATCATACATTCTTTTATTTGTTCTTCTTCTGTTTCAAATCTCAATAAAAGTTTATACATTTTAGCAATAACGTGTTCATCATTTGCATATAATTGTTTCAAATTCAGTCTTAGAATATTCAAAACCAAAAGTCCTTTTATCTACTTTAAATCTTTCTAATAATTGTACATAGGAAAACCATTGACACGTATATCCTTCTAATGTCAAGTCATCTCTTGATTTCATTTTGAATTCTCTCTGAGAAAATTCTAATATATCACTATAAGTTAATCATTTATGTTTAGTTATCATTTCTCTTCTATAATATGCCTCTTGTGGTGAGAGCCACAGAGGTATTTTTGGACACAATCTGGATTTATATCTATTACATATTCTCCTTATGGCCAGTCTAACAAAATGATTTTTAAAGCCAACATTAACTTTAGCTATTTTTGGTGGCATAAATAACCATGCCACCAAACCTCAAATTGTGTCCTTCTAGCTCCAATAATCTATTTCTCAGCATCACCCACTCTTTCAACCAAACTAAACAGCAAGCTGCAAAGTATAATTTCAGATCAGGTAAACCCAAATCTCCTCTTTTTCTAGCATCTTGTAAGACCTTATATTTGACTCGTTTTTTCCACAGCCAGATAAATTTAGATGTATCTTTCTGCCACCGTTTAATTGGTACATCAGTTGTCAAAACAGGTATTGTCTGAAACAAAAATAACATTCTAGGCAAAACATACATCTTAATCACAGAAATTCTCCCCAACAGTGACATTTGTAATTTGTCCCATCTTAACATATCTTTTTTAACTTCATTCCATGTCTTAACATAATTATTTTGAAATAACATACAATTCAAAACATACATCTTAATCACAGAAATTCTCCCCAACAGTGACATTTGTAATTTGTCCCATCTTAACATATCTTTTTTAACTTCATTCCATGTCTTAACATAATTATTTTGAAATAACATACAATTCATATTTGTCAAAGTAACACCCAAATATTTTACCTTTTTCTCAATCATGAAACCTATTTTCTTCATCAAGACCTTGTGTCATATTTTTTGTTAACATGTTTGTCTTTTGTTTATCAATCTTAAAACCAGCTAATGCACCAAATTCTTTTAATTTTCTCATTAGTAGTTCAATCCCCTTTAAAGGATATTCCAAAACCAGCACCAGATCATCTGCAAAAGCTCTCAACTTGTAAGTCTCTTTTTTAATTTTTACACCCATTATCCTCTCGTCTTATGTCTCTATTCAAAACCTCAAGAACCAAAATAAACAGAAGAGGGGATAATGGGCAACCTTGTCTTGTTCCTTTTTGTATCTCACAAGGTTTTGTTAAATCACCATTAACAATAATTTGTGCTGTCTGTGAAATATAAATCATTTTTATCCATTTTATAAAGTTCTATCCAAAGTTCTTATCTTCCAGAACTTTAAATAAAAAGGGCAAATTTAAATTGTCAAAAGCTTTCTCTGCATCTAAGAAAATTAATGCAACTTGTTTTTCATTATGCTGTTCCAGGTATTCTATTATATCCAACCCCATTCTGACATTGTCTTTTAACTGTCTTTTAGGTAAAAATCTGCATTGATCTTCATAACTAAATTCTTGCAAATTATTTTCAATCTGTTTGCTAAAATCATTGTAAACAACTTATAATCATTATTCAATAATGATACTGGTCTATAATGTCTTGTTAAAGTTAGATCTTGCCTCTCTTTAGGTATTAATGCTATATTATCCTCTTTCAAAGTCTTTGGCATGTTTCCTCCCTGTAGTATTCATCACATTTCGGAAGTGTTGTAAAAGTTCATCCTCAAAACATTTATAATAAAAACCTGGCAGTCCATCTGGTCCTGGTACTTTTCCTGGTTTAATCTTTTTTCTAGCTTCAGAAACTTCCCTTATCGTTATAGGTCCATTCATAATCTGGTTTTCTGTAAGCCTTGGTATTTTTTTTTTTTTTTGGTAATCTATTTTTTCCAAGGGAATATCATGTCCTTTATATAAGTTAGAGTAATACTAATAAAAAGTTTTTTGTATAGCCACATTATCCGTTAATACAATATCTCCCTCTTGAAAATCATCTTCTTTTCTGTCTTAATTTATACGCTAACCATTTCCCTGGTTTGTTCGCAAATTCAAAATTCTTTTGCTTAGCGTAGTTCATCTTTATTTCCATTTCTCTTATTGGTAACATAGACAACTGTTGCTGTAAAAGTTTAATTTGATGTGAAATGCTTTTCTTTCCTGGCGATTTCTTTAATTCTTCCTCTTTTCTTTTTATCTCATCTAAAATAACCTGTGTTTCTCTTGAGTCCTCTTTTTAAATTCAGTATTATGTTGTATAAAATAACCTCTAATTAAAGCTTGTGTCCCAAACCATTCTTAAATCAGTACCCTTACTTAAATTGTTTTCAAAGAATTCTGTAAATTTCTTTTAGCAATCTTCCACTATCAACTCTTTTTGTAATAACATTTCATCTAATCTCCATCTGAAAGAAGTAGGTTTCCTTTTAAAAATCAAGCTCACGGGATTATGGTCAGAAAAAGCCTTTGGTAAAATCTCAGCTTTAGAAATCTTAGTAGCCAAATTTTTTGAGGTCCAAATCATATCTATTCTTGAAAAAGATGTCTTTCTGAAAAATAAATATATTCTTTGGAATCACCATTTTTCTGTCTCCATACATCCACTAGGGCTAAGTTGTCCATCAAATCAAAAAAGGTCTTAAAGGAATTCTTTTATCTTCTTAATCTTCCATCTCTTAACGGTTGTTCTGAAGAACCTCTTCTAATCTCCATTCTCACTGCCTTACTGTCATCATTATTTAAAAGTATAGGTGTTAAACAGAAAGAGAGATAAACACAAACTTCACTCCCTCTAATGTCTCTGAAACTGTAATTGCTGGCATGCTTCACATCAGTGTTTCCATAGTTATAGCCAAGTACACAGTCTATCAAATTACTATATTTTGTTTTGTAAATCCAACCAATTTCAGACAGTCCTCTTCTTACAAATGGGTTACGTTCCAAGAGGCTGTTTGTAAGTCCATTTTGTTCGTAAGTCCAACCAAGTACCTACATGCCTTACAACACAACAAACTAATCCTTTCCTGCCTTCTCCTGCCTTCCAAGACCTTCTAGGTTGGAGTTGTGGACAGGTTTGTTCGTATCACTGAAAGTTTGTAACTCGAAAGTTTGTAAGTCGAGGACTGTCTGTATCAACACTGTTTAGTAGAAAGCAAGCGGCGTTCCCATGAAAGGTCTGAGTCAATTGTTAATTCGTTTAGGATTTTACAATGCAGTTTTATAAGAAATTAATCTTTTTTAAAAGTAATCTTCCCTTTCATTCATTTTTAACTTTCTTATATTATAAGAGAGAGATTTTCTTTTCCAACAGATAAGTACTTCTCTTAGTGGTTTTCATTTTGGTGGTGGGGGTTATAAATTTAAAAGTAGATTTAAAGACTCAAAGTATATTGAATAATTAGCAAAAAGCTCATTTTAATTTTTAAAATTTGACTAATATCCTACCTTTCGTTCAGGAGCTCAAGGTGATATATGTGGTATTCCCTCCTATTTTATCCCCACAGCAACAACCCTTTGAGGTAGGTTGGGCTGAGAGAGAGTGACTGGCCCAAAGTCACCCAGTAAGCTCTTGTGCCTGAGGGTAGGCTTGAACCTGGCTCTGCTTGCTCCTAGTCCAACATGCTAACCACTGTATGATGCTGACTGTCTTTTACCAGTTACTGGTATGTGTGTTTATGTACATAGGTACATACATATAGTATTGGGGGGGGGCTTTTTCATGAAGAGCAGAGAGAGAAGTTTCAGATACTGAAAATAAAGGTTTCTCACATTTTAGCTGGTCTTAATGCTATTTAGTTTTTTCACTATGGCTATTGCCTTTTTTTTTTAAGTCCTATTAAATGTATTTGATGTATCAGGCAGTTTTTCCCCTTAGAGGGAGCTTGCTGTGGAAGTCCATGAAGTTATTCGTTACCGTGATAAAGATCATTAGCCTGCATCTATCCGAAAACTTTTCTGAATTTCTTTCGTTGAAATTATATGTGAGCATACCTACTGTGTGACATTACTGTCCTGTATATGTATTACTCAGATGTGTTTGTTCATTGGGATTTACTCTTGTGTAAATGTGTATAAGATCAAAGCCTGAGTGTTTCCATTAGTCCAAAAACACTTGCTGTATTATCAGGTAGAGATAGATAGAAGATAGACAGACAGACAGACTAATTAAATTAGTTGGTTAGTTTTAATTTCAGTGTCTGTGGCTACCCACTCATACAAGACAACACATACATGAATGAAGAGAGCCTAATGATGGTCTTGTTCCTGTAGGTCTCAGTGGACAAAGTTCTAAAGACGTTGAAGGAGAATGCAAATAAAGCAACTAGCCTGTTGCTTACTGCCATACCTCTGATTGGATCCATGGACTGGGCAGAAACCCATCAGAACTTAAAAGTAATTTGATGTTCTATTTAATTTATTATTTATGTATATGTTTGTTTTTAAAAAATATTTCCAGGATACTTTAATGGGAGAAGCCCCCCCTCCCTACAATAGAGCTCACACTGAAAAACTCTAATGCAATAAAACCTAAGTACAGTTGGTAGAGTAATATTAAGACATTGCAGTAATGAAATAGCTAACATTGATAAAATCTAGAAATCCCAACACATTGAAGATGCCATCTGGACAATATTAAAATAAACTTACAGCTACAGTTAAAATTCAGAACAGCCAAATTAAATGTTCTTTGGGAGCAGAACATCATGCAGGCTTTCCTAAAGACTTGGAGTGAGACGGTTGGATCTGCTGTCCAAGAAATATTCTCTTTTATACTCATCAGTTTAACAGCTTTTGAAGCTGAGCAGTGAGTAAGGGTTGAATTATTAATTTGCAGGCAGGTATATACAAATAGTAATTTTTTTACAAGATTCTGAACCTTTAAGGTGAATAGGGCTCAGCAGCGCACTGACCAGCAGTAACTTCCTTGTGTTGTCAGCCAGAAGCTACCCTTACGTATTCAGGTGATCATCTGGAGTCCAACTTCTAAAAAGATGTTGTATGATCCAACCATCTCACTCCTACCAGTTCTTGGACTTCTGGTTTATGCATTTTGGCAAAACATTTGGGCCATCTTCAAAAATGCCTGATGTGAAATATATTAGTGTTCTAACTTTCCAGAAAGTGTTTTAAGAATTCTGAATGTTTTAGATATTTACACCCATGCATACATGCATGGACACCCATGTGTTCACATCATAATTAAGAACTTTGCTTGAACACTAAAGCAGAAAGTAGAATTTCAGAGCAGTGGTAAAAGTCTGGGCAAGTAAATAGGCACCAGAACTACAGACCCAAGGAGGACATTCCATGGACTAGGTGCTATCTAGAAAGGGTTTGATAACTCTTTTGTGATGGCACTTACAACAGTGGAGGAATCACCAGGAAGATTTGGATCATGGAAATAGCTATAAAAGCTGGAATCAAGCTATATCGTGTAGCTGGTAAGCCCACATTAAAACTGATGAGATGAGTTCCAGGTCATCTGTGCCCTTTGCTGGGCAGTTATCTTTCTACCTGGCTTTATTTGTAGCATATGCACAAACTAAGAGTAAATTGGTGTAAATTTTAAACTCTGCATTTTCTAGCACAAAAACAGGGAATCTGTGGTTCTCCTGTGTTGCTGAGCTTTTAGCCCTAGCAGCTCCAACCAATGGTAAGGCATGCCAAGATGTGCTTCAGCAACACGTGGGAAACCACAAGTTTCCCATCTGTATTCTAGAAGAGAGAGAGTAGCAAATGTGATTAGTTCTTCTCTCCATCCCCTAAGTAAGAAGGAATGTGGATCTAGAGCACAAAACATAGTCTCTTGTAAGGAGAAAACACATCTTACTTTAGTGGATCTCTTTCCTTACTTGTTTCTGTTTCACGCTAATAATGCTGTAAAACGCAAATACCACAGCGTATGAAGCAGGATTCAAACAGCAAAGCCTTCAAGTCCTCTGCTGAAAGGAATTAAGGCTCTTAACTCATGTTGGCACCTGACAACTCTTTTTGTTAGTAATATATTCTGTCTGTCGTGTACATGATCTGGATGTTATATTTTACCAAAAATCTGTTGCTATTTTGCAGCACTTTTACTTAGACAGGTGGTAACTTCTGTACATATAACAATTACAAGCCTTAAAGGGTTGTTTCTTAATACAGTTTTTTTTCTTATGTTCTGATTTTTGTGTTTCAGAATACTGTGCAGTTGTCCGTTATGCTACCGAAACATTAAAAACCTAGCAAGATATAGTACTTCAAGATCACAAAATAGACATGTTTACTTTTAAAGAATGCCGTTAATAGATGCAACATTTTTCACTCCCATCTGCTAATTTGCTGCTTGTTTTGGAATGAGATCTTGCAGAGGCTGAAGAATAGAATATTCATAGCAGACGGAACAGTAATTAATTCTAAAAACTGACATTTCACAGACTATGAACATAATAGCAAATACTTGATATTCGTGCTCCATAGACGTGAGAGAGGTAAAAAAAGGGTTACAGTTCTAGTTCAAATACTAGATCATAACTCAATCTAAAAATGGCAAAGCCATAACAAGGTATGTTTATGTGCCCTTAATTACCCCCACATGAAGTGGGGTAGAAATCTTCATATCACCAGAACGGTTTCAGTGGTAGATTGCCTTTCAGTGGCATTTTTATAATGCAAAGAAATGGTTTTGAATGTAGATTAAATGCATTTTTATGATGCTTTTTAATAGAAAATTACTGACTTTTTAAAAATAAGAGCAATTACAGGTTGTACTTTTTTGTTTTAAAGATCTCCTGGCTGAGATTTTTCAAACTGACATGATATGGTTTTTATGTATTTGGCCAATTGTCAAGAAAACCTTTGCTTTTATCGTGAATGTCAAAACCGTCTTCCTTTGTGTCTTCAGTTCAGTATGCTGGACTTTATGAGTTGCTGGATTGATTCATTTTCTTTTTATATTTTTTAATGAGTTGTGCAGCAGATATGTTGACTGGTTATATATATATATATTTTAATTGAATTGCTTTGTGGTTTTCTGGAGAACAGAAAGCAGGATACTTGAGTTTTGTATAATAAAAAATAAAGACATTTTAAGACCACAAAGAACTGAATCATGTATTCCCCCAATTGCTAATAGTGAGGGGTTGAGCAATTCCATTTCCGTTAGAAGTTTTCTGGTGCCCTTCTGGCTTTTGTAGCTCCTCTCCATTTCCCAAGGCCACTATGTTACTTCAGAAGAAATCCTTCCAGTTCTGCAACCACCTTTTACTGACGCCTCCAATATACCATTTACTTGTCTAGCTTTTTCCTAAATATTTTGAAACATGAAGAGTGATGAACAACTGCAACATCTCTGAAGAACATATTCACGTTCTTTGGAATGCTGCTGCTGAATGTTTACAATACACATTGTACTGTTGTATCCGTGTAAATTATGCCTTAGTTGTATATGTTAAAATACCCCCTTTTCTGTTTAAGAAAGAATGTACTGCTGCTTTTCTCAAATAAAACTCAGTGTAACCTCTTCTGTGTCTCTCTGGTTGAAACTCTAGATGTACTTACACCTTGGTATTCTTTAGTTGCTCTAAATGAGCAGAAAAACTATTAAGGATGTGAAATTAAAACTTCTTTGAACTATGCAGCTCAGAGAGGAAACGGAATCCAAAAGCTTTCTTACTTCCATCTCTACCCTGATAAAGATGCCAAATGTTATTTTCAGCTTCTGGCATCACCAATTGGGTTGGACTTTTGTATAAAGCTACAACTACTATGGGCCTCTCCCCCCTTTTACTTCAACCCCTTGGAGACCA